GTTATCAGGGTCATGAGCAGTCCATTTTATTTCTGTGAGTTATTATGAAAGAAAGGGAGGAAGGCATTGAATTCACAAACTGTTTACTCAGTTGAAGAGTGCCATTATAGTTTGTATTGGGATGCATACATAATGCATTTAAAAATTAAAAAAAACTTTCATTTATCCACACATTCTACAGAAACTGCTGCATTACAATGAACTTGGCAGAGAGTGGTCAATAAAAGTAGAGCATGACAACCTCAAGCTGTTCTTCTTCCTTCAATAATATAACAAACTAGGCAGAACAAAAGATTAAGAAAGCATTATTGAGTCTATCTCAAGGTTAGCCTGTGTTGCTAGAGATAAAATACCTACTAGATGTCAGATCAAAAACCCTTGTTCAACCATTCAAGACCTACAGGAGCCCAGGCAGATTTCAGAACCTTTTTAATTGATTTTGTAGTATGTGTGTTCATTCATGACATTTAAATAAAAAGTTGCTTTAAAGACACATATTGTACATGAAATGTGACACAGAGCTAATTCGTATGTTTTAAGAACGAATGGTTTCCTGCACTTAAACAAACAATTATCCAGTCCATTTCTGCAGTGCATTCGACAGATGTACTGTAATGCTGCAGGATAAGAACATGAACACAACAAGCTGCCCTCAACCGCTGGGCATATAGTAAAGTTCTATACTGTATGTATTCTGCTGCTTTACACAGCATGAAAGTCATTTTGGGCAGATAAACCAGTTGCCAAGCGCTTTGCTTTGATTAAGTTTCACAGTGAATTGATGTTCTTTTAATATGGTATAAATAATTGCAACTAAATGTGGTAAAACATTATCAAATGCAGTATATTTATGACATTTTCCACAGTATTCATTTATAGTGGTGGCCTCTACACAGACATACAGTGGGGCCACAGAGCTTTAATTGTCCAAACTGCAGTACAATAATTAAAGAGAAGAGAGAAAAAACAGTGAATTTGTCTGCGAAGTGTGGAGGATAACTTCTAGTTATGTTCATGGCTTTTCTCTGCAACCCAGGTCCTTCTGTTGCCACAGATGTCTTCAATAAGTGACTAATATTGCATTGATCTTGACTAATTAAGTCATTGATGGATATGAGCATAATATTGAGAACTCAGCTGGCAAGTAAACAGGATGACTCTTTAGCAGTCTAAAACCAAGGTTGGAGACCCCTTGTATATAACTTCTGAAAGAAAGAGCTTCAGCAAAGTTAAGGTCTTGAGGCAGAGACAGTTATTCATTTTTCCATGCCTTGTCTACACAGGTGATAACAGATAGCTTTCAAGTTGAAGAGAAACTCATCATTAGCAGCGACTTAGGAAATTTCTTGTTTCTGCATTTAATTATAGTTTCCTTTTGAACACTGCGCACTGTAAGTTTGATTAATTGCTTAGCAGTGTTGTTGACTTTAGCCTCTTTTCTGAGATCATCTAATAAATATCCTGAAACACCTCACTCTTAGTTCAACACGAAATGCTTAGAAACATGATAGATAAAATGAATGCCTTAAAAGGTTCATGTAGAGGATTGTGTCATATTTATTTAACTTGCGAATACACTGTAATGAAAAGATAAATATTTTTATTATTATAATATGAGAAACCTTCAATAGTCTTAAACAATGAGTCTTCTATAGATAATTATTTCCATGTCAACTGTATCATTTGCACAGCACAAATGGGGAACATGATGAATAGGGTGGATTAAAACATTTTATACAGTACAAGTTCAAAATAGGACAAAACTGAGGTCATGTCTCAGTCACTTAAGCCATCTTGTCCGACTCACAGTATTGACTGAAATCTTACTAGGCTTTAGTTTGGATAGATTAGTGAACCAGTTGTTGTTGCTGCTGGAGCACACAATGATTAGGTAATGCCACTTTTCTCTTTTTGTAGAATAGGCGTGTTTTCATTGAACTGGTTTTGCCATTGAGTTGTACAATTTGAGCAAAGCTTTGGATCCAATCTACCAATAAATATTCAAATTTGTATGGCTTCCCACAGTCTCAGAAATATGCTGTTCTCTGCTTACATTCTTATATCCTTTAATAAAGCCGCTAACCCAACAATACTGACATTGTCCCTGTTTTCCACCAACTCTTCCTGTTACTGTGGTGGCATGAATATCAGCTTTTTGCATGAATGTCTTCCTTTTGTCACGAAGCGTTCTTTCAGGACCCTATGCAGACAGCACAATCGGGGGGGGGAAGTGAGGAAAACATGGGGATAAAGGCATGCAGGGGGGCTGGAAGGAAAACAGGGGGCGTGTCCATGGTGCACTGGTGTTCGGGGGGAGGTGTGGCTGAGGCAAACAGTCCAAGGGAGTCCGAGGCAAATCCATAGCAAATGTCCAAGACCGGGTAATCCATCCTGACAGACAAACAGAGTTAAAAACCGGAGCGGGATCCGGCAGAGGGTCGGGGGAATAAAAGGGGGTAACGGGACCAGACGCCCCCTAATCCCGGACTCAGAAGGTCAGAACGCCATGATGAAGCCTGTGCCGTCAAGTTGCTCCTGGAGGAGGGTAGGAGGAGGGTAGGCGGGTAGGCGGGCTTCCAGGCGTCCATCTTCCAAAGCTGAGCCCAGACTGGTAGCAATGTCTGGCTTTTATAGCACGCGGGGCAGGAACCGGAGGCAGGTGTGGGAGATGAGTATCAAACAAGGAAGGGCTGGAGCAGCCTTAAGAGGAGGGGTTTATGATCATGACACCTTTGGTCTTGCATGATGCACAAGGTCAGGGTAGCGGGTGTTGTGGTGCTTATACTGACTTGATTTCCTGCAAGATGTTGTTTTATACCTCTACAGCTCCTTAGTTTCCCAGTGGGCAAACTGTGAGCAAATTGCCCATTCCATTGCAAATGAATGAGATAGGCCATTTGCCCACAGGAAACTTTTCTTGTCTAATATCCATGTCAAGCTCATTTTCATATGTCAGGAATTAGCACTGCCAGAAGTATTTAAAAATATAACATAGGCCTAATCCTTTTGACACAGCATTCTTATGAGAGACTTTTTCTTAATCTAATGGGAAAAAAACAACTTTTTCAGTCATGCCTTCCCAGCAGCAAAGTGTTCCTAATAACATCCAACCTTATATCAACCTCCTTTCCATCTATTTTCTGCAAGTTAATAATTATAATAATAAAAATTTAAAAAGAAAAAAACATGAAACCACTAACGCCTATAGGATTGCTCCTCATATTTGAGCATCCCACGTAGTAATTTGGGGTCAAATGAAACCAGATGCCTTAAAAGAAACTCTTGACTGCCACTTTTTTTTTATTGGAATGGAGTTGAGAAAAAAAGGGGTAGGTGGTTTTACACATGCAGTGTAGGAGTTGTTGGATCTGAAATGCCCTTTTTTGACATTTCATAACCAGCTTTTTTTTTCTTCTGCAACAAAAAAGATTGATAGTTTTGCTTGCCCTGATCTCAGTGTGGACTAAACAGTAAAGGTCAGTAATTTGAGGTGAGAGTCTTGATATTGACTACAGAAAGCTTCTCGTTGAGGAGCCTATTGTAGTAGAAAATGCAGAGCTCCCCCCAGCACCTTCCCTTTTCTCTTTGTGCAGACAGAAAATGTCACAGTATTTCATGCACGTTCGATGGTGACTGCTCCTTGCATCATTATAAATAACCAGAGGAAATAAAGTAGTCTGGACAAGTGACTGATTTCTCATTTCCACTGCTTAAAAGTTCACTGCAGTTACCAGGCACACAAATTTCACTTACGTTACCTAATCCTTGTTTCTAGTTGCCATTTCCTATCATTGTATTTAATTTAAGTTTGGGGGTGCTTACATTTCCTGTACTGTTCACATTTGTGTCTCTGCAGTATTTGTCTTACGCCCACCTATTAATTAATGTCCCCCATTTGCTTTAACTAAATGGTTCCTTGGTTTTCTAACATTAGCAAGTGAAAACCTTCAAGGATGAAGGTCAGGAATCTTGTACTTAATTAAAGGAAAACAAACTTACATTTTCCTTTTCCAAACAGTGTTATTAGCGTTTAAGTCAAACTTCATGATTCATTAAGAAAAGGAAATTCAATCGAGCTCGACAGATGTAGAGAGCTGCGAGCAGTGAAATGTTTTTTTATGCAGTTGTTCATTTGGAGGAAAGTTATTGATTGTGTTTATAGTGAGCTGAACATCAAAATTATCAGGGGTTACAACGAAAAACTTTGTTTTAAGTTCCTTATGCAGGAAGAATAAAATTGCTGTTCAAGGTCAAATGATTTTTTTCCCATCTGTAGATGCTGTCTGAGGAGGGTTTGCTATCAAGGCCAAAGTCAAGGTGTTTAGATCAATGCCTTTCACTTTATTGTGCTCTTTGCAGGTTATATCCACTGAAAATGACTTTTCGCCTCTTTTCAGAATGAAGACTTAAATATTACACAAGTATCAAGCATGTTTTTCTCTTCTAAATATGGTCTGAATTGTTTTGGATAATTTAACTAAAATATAAAAGAAATAAAGATGGGCTTTTTTCAGGACATACTATTCATTTTCTTTAAATGTAAAGCTTTCTTTAAATAGATTTTTAAAAGTACAAAACCACCATAGTTTACTTCTTTTATTTCTGCTGGGATGTGGATCACCTAGTTCAAATGATTAGTTCATACACAAAAATGTGTCCTTTCAAATTCAAAACTATAAATATTTACTTTTTAAAATAATCTTTCCAAAGCCACTATGGGAAAAGTAAAGTATTTCATTAGCAGAACATGAAGAGACTATTTGCACAAATTACTATGCACTCTTATTTATCCATATTATTGAGGATTAATTTCTGGATGTAGTAAACATCTACTAGATCAAAATAGATCATGTTTTTAGCCCTTTATAGAATTTAATATGTTGGTGTTACTAAATTATATTTTTATTCTCAAAGTATTTACTTTGTATTAACTTTGGTAAAACTGAAGTCAAAGAGACGATTGCTGAAAATGATAATTAATCAGATCTTCTTTTTTTTAGCTCCAAAGAAGTGCTCTTCCAGTAGACTACCTCTGAATCTGAAGGAGTATGTGCTGATTTTTATTTTTCTCTCTATTTCTAAGAAGCTTGTGGTGTGATATTTTTCTTTCCCTAATGAGTGCTAAGTGGCCAATACTTTCTTATGCAGGAAACTTATGTCAAACTAATTAACTTTTAATGAGAGGAAACCAACTGATTAGAGTGTTTTCCTTGGCACATAAACCAATTAATTTTGTGTACAGTTTCAACTGTATACGCTATAGATGATCTATCCTTAGCCTGACTAATGTTGTGCGTGCCTGGCGGTGTTTATTTGACTAAATGCTGCTGTAGCCTATTATAGCCAGTTTGTTGAATAGTCTGTAGTGCCTTACTTAAGGAAGTTGAAAAAGAAAAAGTGCTGAGATAAGAATTTGACTGAGAGGTTTGTTTTATTTTAATCTCAATAATTAGAAGCAAAAGAAATTGTGACCAAAACGAGAAGGAAGCAGTTAACAAAAATATAATTCTTTTCTAAAGTGTTTGACTGGGTGTGGAATGCATGTGAGGTCTGACTATTTGACTACCTCTCAATGTCTCCAGACAAAATTAGAAAATGATGTCACTTTATACAGTACAACAATAAAACCTCTAAAACACAAATCAAGAGAAATTAAATACAGTAGCTGGAGCTTTATAACAACAGATACAAGTGCAGTTCTTCAGAGGGACTTCACGATAATGTAATCAACATATGTTTTCATGTTTAATGTTATATTAGCGCATACTGTATACAGCACTTAATTTTTCACTTTAAGCTCAAGAACTTTTTAATTTTCAAGAAAATGCTCCAGACAAGCTGAAGTATCTTTTAGGGTTAGAATGGTACTGTAGCTAACATGCAACAACACAACTGAAGAATGTGATACAAACTGTTGGCACACAGATAAGGTTTTACTAAACAGCATTCAGTTAATAATAGATGACTGTGTTAAAGCTGTTTTTTTTATTTCCAAAAAGCACTGCCTTCAGTGCCATCCAGAAGAGATCAAAGAAAACCTGTCAAGTGAGGGTCTTTATCGACACTGTGATGATTTTTGTATGATTTGACCCTTTCATACCAGCTGGTCATCACTGCTGGGTTTTTAAAGAGATCAACACTCCAATATGAAGACACTCCACAGAAACCTGTAGCTAAACAGAGGCATGGATTAATTGATGACGACTGAAGAAAGATCACATTTTCATTTGTCACAAAATTCAATGAGCTAGATTGAAAACAATTCCAATATTGATTCACTTTGGATTCTCGTGTTCTGAATGGAAGCTTATTTCTCAGCATATTGCTGTTTTCAAATCTGGTTGCTGTCATTACAAAATAGCAGCTGAAGAGGACAGCACATTTAAAGATTAATATCCTAGCAAGAGCTGTAAAAAAAGTAATTAATGTTCAAAATTAGAACACGATTTCAAATGTAGACATTCATCATCTCCCAATTTTTGTGATTTGTGAAAGACTTAGTTATTCATACTGTAGTTGGGTATGTTTTCACTCCTTTCTTCCCAGTTTGCTTTATTATTTCTATTTCTGCATGTGCTAAAATAAATATTCACGTTTCAACTGATCAGAAACACCAGTAACCCAGTAAAAGGCCTGTCAAGATGGGTTACACCATAGAGGAGTTTAAGACTAGGTAACTTAGTATCCTGCTGGCTAAGACAGCACTCATAGGGGAAGCAGGGGTCTGTTTAATATTCACAGAAATTAAACGGCAGCATCGAGAGTGTGGAAATACTGCTGTTTCATCTCTCAATTACAAAATTAGTTTGAAGTTGCCATGTTAGTACTTTATCTGTCACAATATGGCTCAAGTTTGTCGAAGTATTAAAAACCAAAAAAGCAACTGCAGTTGGTAATGTTTCAAAGAAACCATCCCTTAAAGACTAAATCAATCTTGTTTCAAGTTTATACCCTTGCTTTATGATTAGGGCTCTAGGGGTATATTTGGCTGAAAAAAAAGTCTTTTTGATTTGTCAGAAATTCTTTAGATTAATATGCAGCTGTCATGGCAAAGCAAATCTAGACCTCATTGCAGCCTTTTATCTTTTCTCTCTCACCCCAGGCTGCAGCGTGCGTGCACCTCTGTGGGAGAGGATGTCCATTCTTTTCTGATTGGAGCGCGGTATAATAGGTCAGTCACAAGGCCATCTCCAGACTCTAGATGACTATCCACGCATTCTGCGTAGAAACTGAAGCAACACATCCACACAGTCATTGTTGTTAACACGATGGGGAATTTCATGTCTTGGCCAACACTTCATGCTCTCGGTGTAAATCAGCTTTTTTCTTTTTGTCCCTTGTAATTGACTTAAATGTGCTTTTGAAAGTCCATTTGCATGTATGATCCGGTGCTAATTTGGCATGAAAAATGAAGACTTTTGAGATGGTTCGGGGTTACTCTTTAAAATGACTCTGCTGCTCAACAGAAAAGTGTCACATTAGTCAGCGTCAAAATGTACTGATGCTCCACATCATTGAATTGAACTATTTGCAACTCTTCTGGGTAAAACCTCACAACTGAATTCTAGATTTAATAACATTGTTGAGCACGTCAGTGGTATTACTGTATCTGTGCTGAATGACAATACTTTTGTGACCCAAAGAGAAGTGATTAAAATAATCCACATGAACCTGGTGCAAATTTAATACTATATACTTACTAGCAACTACAGTATATGTAAAGTATACATATACAGTACATATACAAGGTGTTTTTATATATTGTATATATACATTCATGGCAAGACATGGAAAGACACAGTGACATCAAATAAGTAGACACAGCACACTGAAAGAATACCCAGACTGAAGCCCTTTCCAGACACACTTAGCGCAGTTCTTGGGGGCTGGTGCTGGTCGAGAAGCTCCTGCTCAGCGGGCTGTACGACTGGAGCAGAGTTATGATCTCATGACTCTCTTTCTATTTTTGTTTGCGAATGTCAGGGGCACACATGACTGCTTGAGTTCTGGCTGACCACCCTGTTACTAGCCAATAGCTCCAGCTTTCGGGCCATTTCCTCCTGGCATCAGCCAATGTGACATCTGGCAGCTATCCCCAGTCCCTGATTCACACTCCACCAGGTGTTGAAAACTTTGTGCTTGAGGTGTGGCTTCCTGTGGCCTGTACCTGTTGTCACAGATAACAACAGCGAGCTTGTTACGTGACTATCATCGGCCTGCTGGCGTCGGTTTGCAGTACTTGGGTCACACCTCTGGAGTGGCAAGAATGATGTATGTTCTGCTATTTTTTTTTTCCTTTTGGTCTGCAGGAAGAATTTTGATAGCTTGCTTTTATAGAGACATTTTGTGAATTTCGCTCTTTAATGGGTACTGCGTCTGTAAGCGTGTCCCAGGTTTACTGTGCCAAAGCAAACAGATTTACTGCAGACTCGGGAGTGAGAGAGAAATGTGTCACACAGATGTGTACAGTGTCTACAAAAGCCTTCTCTACCTGTTCCCGAGCCTTGCGGTGCTAGAAAGGGACTTGCCGAATTGAAAGAATTAAAAAAAAATATTAGTTCAATAGATATTGTACACCAACAGATTCAATTTCTGAGTTGATATGTTACCTAGTGCAAACCATTTCATGCATTTCAGAATGCGAATGGTGTTCTTCATATTCTCTGTATGCACCCTAGGTTACTCTGGAACTAATAAATACAATTTAAACCCCAAGCCACACTAGGATATCTAAATGGTACATAACTGGAATAAGTAAATTAACATTTTCAACGTTGTACACACTTAAAGGCATTGCTAATTAACACGCTAACATTTTTAAATACGTCTGAGACCAGGAAGGAACATAATCTAAATTCATTACTTCGTTTGAATATGTGTGTATATTTGAAGCACAGTTAATATTGTTTGAGACATCTCCTGCATTATCACACTGCTGAAAAAGACCTATGCTACAGTTTAATGTTCTTTTCCCTGTAGGATTCATTTCTAAAATATGGAAATTTCTGCAGTCCTTAGGCCATGAGTATTGAACAGAATTCACCTTTTTGTTTGAATTTCACATTGACCTATCATGGAGTACAGTGTTTCTGAACATGAAAAGGCTTCATTGACAGGTTCTGTATTGTGGCTGTGTGCAATCAATTTGCCAGCAATTACTTTGTAGTTAAGGCTAATTTAAAAAAAAAAAGAATGTTGGATTATTCAAAGGCTGTTTTTACCGATTTCTAAACAAAATAAAGTCTTAAAAATGCAAGATGAGGAGTTTCCTGGTATTTATTTAGACTATATTAACAAAAAAAAACATTAAATTAAACATTTATTAATGATTTCTGGAAATTTTCTGTTTGCATATTCCCCTCTGGTTGATGTATTCATGGTATATATTTATTAAAGCAGGGGTGTATCTACCAACCAAAAAAGAACGAAAAAGAGAAATTGGTTAAATGCATTGATGGACACTTCATATGAAATTACTTTTTTATTAATCAACTCCCATAATTTTTGACATTTTCTTTTTCACACCGATCAAAAAAGGATATAATATCTTTTATTTTTGTATGTAATAATATATGGATTGCTAATTGCATTACTTTCACCATAGCTTATTCTGACAGCCTTGTATTTACTCAATGAAAACATTTTTTAGTGATTGTATTGCTTTTCATATCTCATTTACAGAGAAAGATACATGGACTCTGTTGCTGTTGAAAAGTATGGTGTATACCTCTCTCGGAGTTATCCAAACTGTGCTTTTCTAACCCAAAGTGAAACGCCCAAAAAACATGGTAATCCGTACCTGTAAATTTACTGATTTCATGCTACTCTTTGACTACAAAAACAAGACATTTGAGCCTATTAATATTTGTTCCACTAGAGGGCGCCAGAGGGACTTTAATGGCCATGTTATTATTGTTTATTTAAATATGTGACCATTATTCCTGGCCTAGAAGTTGTATTTGCAAATATTTATATTGGGGAAGTACAATAAAATAAAACTAAAAAGCATATTATATATATATGAACACATACATAAATATTTGAACTATATATATACATATAGTTCATTATGAAAGGTTGAGGTCCAATTCTAAGGTTTAAAGAAAAGTAAATTGTCCAGCGAAAGAAAGGACTGAATCTGTATCATCAGCCATATCTAAGCGTATTATCAATTCATAACCTTGTCTGAACAAGGAGGGCTTTAATGACAAACCTAAAGTGAAAAGTTCTTATTAAGAAAATATACAAAACGAAATGCACTCCATATGTCAAAATAGACATTACTGTTTTATACATTACCACAGCAACTTGCTAAATGTACATATAATATGCAACTCTTCTGAACAAAAGCATACATCATCGTAATTTCATTACCAAGTCTTAAGAAACAAACTGGAATTTAACAGATGGCTCTAGATACTGTAGTTCAATTTCAAATGTTAAGGCTGCTGTTCCTTCACTATATGTTTGATACACACCACATATTTTATCTCTTCTTGCCAAAAGAGTATCTGGACTGTCAGGGTCTTGTACAGAAACTACATTTTGGCTTCTTTGATTCTCTTGGCTACAAACTCCAACGTTACATTCACATAAGCATATCCATTTCTTACCTTGTAAATTAAAATCTGTCTCAAAAGGAAATGAAGTGGAACCTTTTACCTTAAAAATCCACAGATATGCAACACATTTCCACAAGGCCTCAAAGTGACCGAGTCAATGGTTTTGATTTACAGATCTCCATCTCACCAGGGTTTGATTAAAAAAGTGTGATGGCTCAGACCTCCATACACGAGAACAGAAACACTAACAGGCTGAATATGTTTGTTTAAGTTTGAAATGGACTTGCTTTAGAATTTGATTTAGAACCTTTGGTCCTGTTTATGATGTAGACAAAGCACATGCCCTGAGGAGCCACAGAGCAAAGATGTGTCAGGGCAACAGAGAAGAAGGCAGGGGCATTACTGCCGAGCACACAAACAGCCACCAGGGGGCAGTCAAGAGTGCCTGGGGTACTGTGCCAGCAAAAGCCATCAAACACACAAAAAGGAAAGAGCAACAGGTAACGGGGGTTTTAGCATAAAAATCGGACCCAGGTCTCTCGTGTTTGTACATTCTGTACATCTCTCTGGGTCTAGCAGCCAATAGTGGAACTCTAAAACAATAAAAGAAAAGAAGCTTTTTTGTTAGTTTTGCTCTATTGCTCATATACATGACTTTCATTTGTATCCACAACCATGACAACTCTAGAACAAGGGGTTTCAGCCTGGAGGGTCTGATTATACAGGGAGTGACAGAATACGGACGTGTCACCCCAAGTCCAGTCCTGCTCTATATAACTAATGTCATACAGTGGGTCTGCTCTGACACAGCCGATCTATTGACTTACAATTCTGCTTCTATGATTTCATAACCGGTATTATGATTAATGGCACAGAGGGCGCAGGTTAGGTCCAGAAGTAGGATTATTTGACGTTTACATTTCCACTCAGGGGTGATGCTAAATAAAGGCACAGATCAGTAGAGGCTACAAAATCAGTTCAAAGATCCGGAAAGTTCCTTAATATCAGCATGAGCATTATTAAGTCAATCATTCAGAAGTGGAATGCACCTGACACTACCTGGACCAGGCTGTCCCTCCAAACTGGAAAGCCAGGCAAGGTGCCAATGGCGACTTTGAAACAGCTACAGAGTTCAGTGGTGTCCATGGGACAGCAATATTCCAGTCACTTCACAAAGACAGCTAGTATACAATTTTGAAAAAACTCATGAGATATGTTCTTAATTTTTCTCCACTTTTTTTTCCAGAATGACACAATGAGAACAGCAAAAGAGCAACATAACACTGGCCAAGTGAAGGGGAGATCCGATGATCTCAAAGGACATTGCAGAGATGGTATTACACCACTTTCTGCTCAGAAATGGAAAGATACAATGTTCAGTCACAAGGCTGCGGACAGGAGTGACGGAGAAATCAAATCCACATCCCCTCCCCAAAGCCAGAATAGTAACTCTTCGGGTTTGCTGGTCAAAGCCATCAAGCCTTCAAAATCGCATTTGAGGAGTTCAGTGGCAGAAAGCCAAGGAGCAGTCTGTAAGATTTAAATTGCAGCATCATTCAACAGCAAATAAACTACATGCAGCATCAGGAAGGACAAGGGGCAGATATCACTAAAGTATGTTTTATTAAATGCTAATCTGTTAAAACAAGCATCTCAGTCCAAGCAGATATCTGCTTCGTTTCTTTTCATCTTTGCTTTCCATTTCATACTGTAAGTCTCCCTGTTTTTTATGTATCTGCTTATAGGGAAGATAGGCCAATCATTAAAAAAGCAGTGCTTCTTTTTCGGCACGTACTGTAGTACACGATCGGAAATACCAACAAATACCACACGTGTTCAGAGTCCACGGCCTCAGACGCATGAACCCAGGTGCTGAAGTACTTTCCTTTAAGAGTACCAGAGACATCCAGAGGCCATCCCCCCCCTTAAACCTTAAAATTGCATTTATAGTCCTTCCAAGATGAAGTATTCCTAAAAATATTTGGAAAAAAAATGTTTTAGTATGTAAACTGTGTCTTAGAATAGATGTGGAATGTGTACAGTAGGTAAGTTAAAAATAAGAAAATAGGCAGATCAATGTCACAAGAACATTTTGTGACTTTTCAGTCCTTTAGAATCATGCAAAGAGCTACAGATAGAAATGTAATAGTAGTTCAGGTGGGGAGCTGCGTCGGCATGCGCAGGCCGCAAGGGATCAAGGAAAGGTTTATTCAATGCTTAAAAGAGAGGGAGAGAAACACAACGTTTCGGCTGTGGAGCCTTCTTGGGGTGAAGAAAAGAGCTGAAGAAAGCTCCACGGCTGAAACGTGTTTCCTTTCTTCTCTTTTAGGCATGGAATAAACCTTTACTTGTTCCCTAGAAATGTAATGCAGTATGTCAAAGTTAGTTGCTTTTCAGTAAAGCTGAACCAAACCGAGTCACCATATGTCTTTGCTGACTTCTAAGAGAAGTAACATTGATCTTATCTAACTACCGATTGTCTGTAGTAGAGGTGTTAACTTTTTCACACAAGCATGACACCAAGAGTGCAAATGTACTTTAATTAGTGCAATAATAAAGGGGCGTTGTTCAATACACAACTTCAGTTTTTCCAATGCAAATTATATCTGTTTCCTTTCGATGCAAGTTACACGTTTTTATTGTAGATCTATTTTTCTGAACTTGCGGTAAAAAGCAACAGATCTGAAAAACATCTCATGTAAGTTGTTTTAGCGAAATGGAACAAGTCCACAAACCTTGAAGATATCCCTCTAATATCAGAGGCACTTGCAGAAATCACAAGATTAAGAGGTTTCCATTTTCTGGTACACTCTTTAATTGTTAATCACTATGATAAATATCTGTGGTTCCCCATGAGAAAGTAAAGAACATTTTTTTTTCTTTGCTGGAGGTCTTTCATCAGGACATCATTGAAAAGAAATAGAAAGAACTTTCAGTACCATACACTTCAGCCAACATCACAGGCATTGGTCTAACACAGACCCAAGAGGCTAAGACACATGATTATGAATAACATTAATCTTAAAAAAAGATCTACAGCTTAGTGGTCTTCTGTGTAAGTTGCTCTTAGTTTCTTCCTTTTTGCCAGAGTTTATTTTTTAAATCTAAATTAAAAGCACCACTTGCATGGATTTTTAATGTTACTGCAAAACATATGCAAAATGAACAATTCTTGTTTTATGATTACCATATTTTGAAAAACAATTACTGGTTTAATAAAAACCGAAAAATCCAGTTTCATTATAATCAATATACTGTACATGTGTGGATAACTGTATTTCAGACAGTTGTTTTTTAGCATCTGAAGAGCTATAAATTAATATTCATATCTGAATGAGAGGCATTAATTAGCAACACCACAACACATCCAAGTACACAACACAAAATCCAATCAAACGTCCTGCATGTGATTGTTTTACAGCAAATTTAAGTACTTTGGTCGGTCAATACGTATTTTATATTTACGTATTTTGAAGTTCGTGGAATATTTTTGCTTCAATGGCGCCATCTAGTGGCAGCGTAATGTAAAGATAATTGGGGCGACATGGGAGCAGGCTGGTCTGCACCTCGCAGCTCTTGGACCTGGGTGTGATTCCAGGGCTTTGCCAGGTGCTTCTCCTTTCTCCCACTTTCCAAATATTAATCTATGTCTCTGAATCAGGGGTTTCCACCTGGAGCCCCAGCACATCAGGCTGTGAACAATTCCTAAAGGCCTGGAACAATTTATCTACGGTCAATGAAACAAGTGGTGTGTCCAATCAAGTGAATTTGAAGTCGTTTGGAACATAATTAGAATATCCTTCAGCCCTTGAGTTTCCTTCATTGGTACATGACTTGCTTAATTCATCAATTGCTTAAATAAGTGTTCATAATCTTTAAATAACAGGTGATTTTGGGGGACCTATAAAAACGTGCGGATCGGAGGCTCTCCAGCACCGAGGCTGGAGATAGCTGTGCTAAATTCTCCCCATGGTTGTGCACCTTGTGATGGTCTGACTCCATGCTCAGGATGAAGCCCTGTCTTTAACCTCCTGATTCTGGGACAGGCCCGGATTGGCCTTAACCCTAATCAAGAATAAAAGCTGTTTGATAATGGATAGATGAACAGTGAGAATTAACAGGAATATTTCCTTCAGTTCACTTGCACGTATTTCTGTAAGTGTGCTCCTTTTTAACTCTTTTTAAATTTACTAAACATGGTGAATGATTTTTCTTTGAGGTCATAGTGTAATGTACCTAGGACGTGTATTATGTTAACCGAATGGGCCCTTCAAGACCTGCTGTAAAAAGAACTGTGTACTGTTTGTCAAAATTCAGCCCTTATAGTTCTAGTTCTCAAATTGGCCGATTTTGAGTCATACAGTATATTATTATTATTATTATTAGTAGTAGTAGTATTGTAACGCAACAGGGGCTCAGGCGGGCGCCCTTGCCGCATCTGGTCGGCCCCATCCCGACTGGAGGCTCGAACCCAGGACTTCCGCGCCGTGAGCTAAAGAGAGATCTCTCCACAGCCCAGTAGCTGTGGTCCTGCTATCACAGGGAAGGGCGGTGACGTCACCCGCTCTGGTACGCCGGCTCTTACACACAGTGCTTGTCGGCCGTAAGCGTTACACTCTCCCCCGCTTAAATCGCCGTCCCCGGCGAAGAGCTATCCCATCCCACTCTGACACCAATGTTACGCAACAGGGGCTCAGGCGGGCGCCCTTGCCGCATCTGGTCGGCCCCATCCCGACTGGAGGCTCGAACCCGGGACTTCCGCATCTCTCTGCAGCGACCTAGCCCCCGTGAGCTAAAGAGAGATCTCTCTTTATCTCACGGGGCTAGGTCGCTGCAGAGAGACGCGGAAGTCCCGGGTTCGAGCCTCCAGTCGGGATGGGGCCGACCAGATGCGGCAAGGGCGCCCGCCTGAGCCCCCGTTGCGTTACAGTATTATATCCATGTGTCAATAATTTTGGTCAGCATTGTAATAAAGATAAGTCCTCTGAAGAAAATGTCCTGAAAAAGTCAGTGATCATATGATTGATATCTTTGCAAAGTGAGTCTACTGCATACAGTAGTTAAAATCAAATGTTCAAACCATATGCCATGAGTTTGGTGTCTGTCCAGTGAAATCTTACATTTTTATTTACGATTTTATAATTGCCAGATAATTTGAGGTGTCATGTGGGTTACAAAATGGGATATTTTAGTAACCCAAAGGTTTATTGCTGTCACATTTGCAAATAATTCAATTCTAACGTTTTATACAAATACAGCTTCTTTTCACATTCTCATATAAGAAAAGCTGAATTACAGTATTTAAGTTCTCGTCCGAAACATAATAATTACGACTGATGAGTCTGTGCAGGCTTTCGTTTACTTTAATAAGCAATAATGTTTTAAAAATACAGTGTAGGAAAGTACTACTAGGCAGATGGATGTGATTGCTGTGGTTATAGCAACTGGGACATTGGGCAATCTAATTTGTGGATTGAAATACTAAATAAGCCCAGATCAAGTGGCTGTTTGTACATACAAGATAATGAGAGAATCTAAGGATACATTATTGGCACCCTAAAAATCCCAAAGGATTTATAGATGTAAATGACTGACCTGAATTGTCTATGAAGCCTAAAACTGTGTACTGTATGATAGAATGTAGAGAAATAATGTGAATGTTTTGGATGAATCCTGGGTGAACTGATTTTTTGTGGAGGTTTAAAAGAATACATGGATATTTCATTTTATGTGGAAATTTGCGACATGTAATTGTGTATTAATTTGTATTTCATTATTCACCGGGTTTATCCCATCATGTAAGGGTCTTATTTAGATGGTTGCTGTAAAGAGAGAAAATGTGTAAGCGGTTAAGTTCTTTGACAATAGTAAGTCTTTGGAATCATTCATTGTTTTTCCAGCTGTGAGTATATGGAGACCAAATAAGTAATCATACTTTTATACAACCCCATTCTTTAAACCAGGCATAGGCCAGAGAAGCCCCAGAGGCATTCTTTCTTGCTGGGGCAGGGGGGTGGGGACATAGAAATCTTTCAGCAGGATCAGACGACAGTAGAACCATGAACCCTGGCACTGCCAGCAGTGTAATCACTCCCATTGAGTCTGCTAGATCCCCAGAAATTGTGTTGGGGTTATTATTTGGTCAATGGATACGTGCAGAGGTTTTCTGTATCGCCATGAATTTAACATTGGACCCCTCCAATAAACATGTTTACATGACCAGTCCGTGAAGCTGCACCTTGTGGTTTCATTATTAATCAAAGAGGAAAACTAAAAACAAAACCAGAAACATACAGTGGGAAATAAGAATAGGTGGTTACATATGCTTACATGTCTATACTGTATACAGTACCTAGAGTACGTGTATGAAATATTCCATGTCTTTTTCTAAAGAAGCACATTATAAAAAAGTCCATATTGGACTTAAAGTGCCTAAATTCCAAGATTGTTTATTTAGCATGCTTGATTTCTCTGAAGGGACTCTGTACAGCTTACAGAATTCTTGCCACGGAGCTGATCGTGGAAAGTGAAAGAAGCCGGCCAATCCTGTCTTTGGATTAATATCACTCTCTTGAGGAACAACGCAATCTTTCTGGCTGTAACAAAAAAGAAAAGGGAGGAAAGAAAAAACATCTGGAAATATAGTTTTCACATGCCCTAAGTGCATGAATTCTTTCAAATAGGTCTTGGCATAAAATGTGCCGTTCAGCACTTTGTCCTGGCAAGTTCCAGTGTTAAAGAGGGCTCCTGTCAGTGTTCAAGTAAGTGTCGTATAAGAGAAGAGAATGGAATAATGAGTGGGGACATCTTAATCCCTGCAAAGAGATTAATGAATATTAGTTATCAGTCCTACAGTACATACTGTAAGTATCATGACATTCCTTAAAAATTACAGAAGAGTCAGGAAACACATATTTAACTACTGAGCTCAACTTTGAACTCAACTAACATTTTCAGAATAATGTACTTTTAAGACTCACCTCAAAATGAAAATTGACAGGAAGAAAGGAGGTAGAAAACCTTAAGTTACCAACAAGGATAGTAAATACACAGAAAAAAAAACCCATGCATACAGTAGACGTTTTTTAAAATCGTTTTTTCAAAATGGAAACCATAACAGAATTACCAGGTGAGCACGCACAAAACAAAAAGAACCAGATTCATTTATTTTTGGGGGATGGTGCTTTTCAATCACCTAAAGAGACTAATAGGCGTACTTACACAGATTAGGTCTGCCGTCAGATTATTATTTTCTAACTGCTTGATCCAATTCAGGGTCGCAAGGGGACCCAGAGATTATTTTGGCAGGGCTGGCTACACTCCGGGACTGGACAGCAGTCCATCTCCAGACGAACACAGGCACGCACACATTCACACCAGGGCCAATTTTCCCAGAACCTACCAGTACATCTTCAGACTGTGGGAGAAGACCATAACTCCCTGGGGAAACCCACAAAAACACAGGCAGAACATGCAAACAGAATGCAGATATCACCCCAGGTCCTGAATTGGATCCAGGGCCCCAGTGCTGTGAGACAGTAATGAGAGAGGGCAGTAATGAGGGACAGCAACGAGAGAAATTAATCTGAGTGAAGTATCTTGCTCAAGGGTACAACAGTAGTTTCCCCACTCAAATGCATTCACACATGTCTTCTCATCATTTAAAGGAGCAGCTTGAATTGAAATTATTTTAGGTGGCTCCACAGACCATTAATTCTGCATTGAAGTCAATGTTGAATTCAAAGTCAGTGCTCCACATAGTTACTCTCAGACTGCCAGAAGGAAGCATAAAGCATACGAGAACACTGCAGATCAACAATTTATGTAGATAATCTAGATAATTAAAGCCAGATGAAGCACACATGTGAAAACACAGAAGTCTTAGATGACACATGTTGTACAGTATTTGAGGAATCACATCAGTTTGCACTCCCCAGCGTGAGTTTCAGCTTGTCCCAGTCTTTATTGCTGCGAATTGTAAGAATTATGATTTTCCTGCGTAACCAATTTCCAGACAGTGGTAAAGGTTGAGTCAGGCGGTTGGAAAGCAATTATCAATTAAAGGTTTCAGATGCTTTTTTCTACATCTGGCACTAGGCAATAGAGAACAAGAGCTCGTACAGTATAATGGCCCACGAGGTGGCGCCGAATAATAAAATATACTTCATTGTTAACACTACAGTAGGTTTTCTTCACCGCATCACGCCTCACTAAGAGTTTTAAGTTAAAAGTAAAATTAAATACGCAAAAGAAAAAAAAAACAGATACATAGAATTTGTGTTCCCAGCATCAGATTAGAAACAGATTTAGACTCTTTTCTAAAAAATAAAAACAACAGACTTCAATTCCAAGTATTACAATTGAATCTGATAATTTTGGTTTTCATTGGTAAAACTAAAAATTAGTCATCGCGAACACTTGGTGCGCGTATTTGTTTCGCAGACATTGAGGAGAAACAAAATGAAAAGGCGTCGCGGCTCGGTGCAGTTGCAGAGATACAGAGACACCGAGAGATAGAGCATTAGTTCCGCTTCCTGAGACTCACGAGCTGGAGGGAAACCCAGCAATAAAGTCGGAGAGATCACTGTGTGGTGTGCGCTGCAGAGAGGACCGCTGCGCTTCTGGGCCATTTTTAATGTGAAAAGCGAAAGCAGATCGGTGGTATCTTTAACAGACCATCCCGAGTACCGTACTGATGAAGAAATGGCAGCGGAGTCGACCCGGAGATTTACCAAGAACCTGCTGAAGCCGGGGACAGCGGCTGAAATCAGGCAGACCGCGTCACACGCTGTCAGACACTCCAATGTCACGGTGAGTGGAAAAAGGATCGTGGATTTGGCATTAGTGCAGATGTGCTGCGCTATGTATTTCGGCTTTTGATTTGTGCTGAGCCTTCATTTTCCCTTCGGTCTTTTGACTACGGGATAGCCAGTCGCTCCATTACAGCTGCGCGGCTGGGAGAACTTGAAGCTTAAAGCTTTTACTGGGATGCTGAAGATGCAGCCAGCCCGCTGGAAGTGAGATGTTCATTGAATCGCTCTAATACTGTTACAGAAGCCTGCTGCCTTAGGCACAGTGCGTGTGACTTTTCTCGTTTCAATGTATCTTTTTACTGTGACTCCGAAACTGGTTTCTAGTTAAAACAGATATAGGACTGAGAATTGAATCTTACTGGAATTACTGTAAATGGCGCTTGGGGATTCGTTTATTCATTATTTAATTGCCTTCACAGCAAACCTGAAATTAAATACTCTATAAGGACCTACTGGGTTGATGGGTTATTTTAGGTATTTTCCAGGCACAAGCGAACATTTTCGGATTTGGCACTGTGATTTCCGCGGGAAATGCCCTCTTTACTCTTTCATTGAAGATGCTAAATGACGTACGTAGTCAACATCAGATCTGGACTGAAGATAGCTGTTTGATTTGCTCATAATCGGCAGAGGGCAAGACATCGGAGGAAGAGACTTGGGATTTTTTTTTTAATGCAAAGCAAAATTCACCGTCCGACGTCATGTTTGAAAATACCTAGTGCGTTCTAATGAGTCCTGTGCAGGACGGCTCCATGCTATGCAATTGAAAAATTATGTAACTGGTATCATTATTGTGTAAATGAAAACTAACTGCAATACGAAACACATGTCATGTATCGTCTGCTCTCAAACCCGTTCTCCCTTCGTTATTATGTCTAGTAACGAACGATTTAGTTTCCTGTAGTAACCTAAACGCGCAGGCAGGATTTTGCGCAGGCAAAAGCGGCCAAATACCTCTCTGTCATTCCTTTGCCAGAAAATGCCACTGCGAGTGTAACTTCTATTTGTAAGTGGTGGTTAAAAGCCCCAATTAATTGTCAAACCAGTGTATCCTATATAAAGACATATAACACTGTTGCTAAACTACATTTCACAGCCAAATTTAGAAGGCTGTTTATGGACCATGATTTTCAGTCACACCAACCATGCTATAATTTAGAAAACAAATTGGTGAATAAAATGTGTTTTAATCTTAGAGGCATCACATAATATTCAAAACTGACAGAAAAATAAATTCCAGAAGTGCCACTACTCTCCATTACAAATGCATATAATTAAAGATGAAGTTTTCATTGAAACATAATAACAACTAATAATAATTACTCTTCACATTTACCCAGGGCCGGCGCCAGGGGAAAGATCTGTAGGGGGCGTCTGAAATTCTGAGGGGGGCGGTGATATTTCGGTTAAAACGGAGCCGTCGCAAATACCCAAGTGAAATCTCGCAACCATGCCACTGATGAGTGCTTCATGATAGAAGATAACGACGAGCAATCTGGTATTTAGCGATGAAGTATAGTTGAAGTACTGTATAGTCTCACATTCATCAGCAGTCTCGCGATTATTATTGCCTGGAGCGACAAAATACCACACGCGTTCATTTGTGCGGCTACATCGACGGTAACGGGGTTCTGAAGCGTTAAGGAAAAATAATAGTTGTAATACCAACAGAAAGCACAAACTTCTATAACTACAGTCCTACTGTAGTTATGTAACGATTGTAAGTATAAGGATCAACTACTGCAAGGAATCGGTTCACCTGAGCAAACAAAACCGTAACAACCGTGTTAATAAACACTATGTAATATGTGCCGTTCCTGGACGGACATCAGGCGCAAGTTAGGTAAGCGAAAGTGTTCAAAAATTATTTTGTCCGAAACTGAGGGGGCGGGACAGTTCAGTTGAGGGGGCGAGGCCCCCTTTTGTCGTCCCCCCTCCCCCCCCGTGGCCTGCGGGGTCTGCATTTACAACCCACCTGCCTCTGAAGTCAGCCATTATGCACAAGCAGTCCCAGTACGAAGCAGGAGGGAATGAATGGAGGGAAGAGTGCCACCTACTGGTCCACACAGCCACTTCAAGTTCAGACTTGAAGTTGTCCTATAAAGGGCAGGAGATGTACATCTGTTTTTATAAAAATGGAAACACTTGTGGTTTGGGGTTCGTGGGAAATCTTGGTAAAAGCAATATAAGTGAAAACAAAGTATAATAATGTTTGGTGGGTGTGAATTGCTCTGAAGTACCCGAAACAGACAGTGAGTTTAATGTACTTTACAAAATGAGAGGATAGATATGTGGAGCTGACCTTTGCAGGCAGTAGAGAGGATTAAGTTGGGGGATGCAGCATGCAATTCGTGTCATCTTACAGGCTCTTTGTCATCTATTTGAATTAACATACAGGAAAGCCAAACACGTGATGAGAATTATTAAGGTGGCCTTCTATTGGAACAAGGCATGCATTTATGCTGGGAGAACAAACTAAATCCACATGCACATAATATACTGTGGGAGTTATCCACTGAGAGAAAAAATATGGTCCCCAGAACAAGTTAAAAGAACAGCCCAGGAGTATACAGTCCATATTACAAATCACCCAGTATGCCTTGGAGTTGCTTTCTAACTGTTAATGTAATTAGTGGGCCTGATCTTAACATTTCCTGTGCCCTCCTGACCTAAACTTGTTGGTCTTAAGAGTGAGACAGACAGCCATAAAACAGAGTATCTGTCTATTGTTTTTCACGAACACCATCTCGGCCATATCAGAAATATTTTGCTGAGCATTTGTGCAGACGTGTTATCTTAGTCGGCCACTTGTCTGAGGCTGTTGCTCTGATGGTGGTAAGGAAGACGTTAACCGCTGTCTCCTGTGGAACGAATGACACTTATTCACAGAAGAGTCTGCAGCGGAATTCAGCAGGAAGAACGTGACACCATGTCAGCAAAATAAAATATATGGCCACAGAACAGACAGTGGGACGACGAAGTGGTGTATTTCTGAGGTATAAGGTGCATAACAAAGTGACTAAAACAGTCCTTAAAATACTAGTAACGCTTGCCTCATCCAAGTCCTGAAGTTCTGTGTCTCATCATGGTCCTCACATCATCAGGCTGGGGGGTGTAAATGCAGGTCGGACCGTGTCTTGTACAGCACGTCTGCCATCAGCGCCTGGGCACAAGGCACCCGCGCCTCTAGATTCACGTCGGGGGGTTCAGGCTGTCACAGCTGCTACATGAGTGGGTGGGTGAGTGACCCCAATCCATCTGCACGTCCTGAGCATGTCCCATCACTGACATTCCCATCGGCATCATAACACCTCAGGAGCGTCAGGGACATCTGAAGTGGTTTGTAACAGCTTGCTGGGGCTCTCCAGCTTGAAGCACTGCCAGCGCTTGATTATGCTCATTTGTTGGGGAACCAGAGCATCACTGTCTATGGCTCGGAGAATTGTTATGTACTCTTGTTCTTGTTATGAATTTTTGCTCACTTGATGTGTCTTCCTGAATATGGCACCTTACCTGCCTGAGTCCTAGTGAATAGATTGGTTTTATATTTTGCCCGACCTGAATGCTTACATTTTCACCAGTTTTCATGTAGAAAAATGAGTTTAGTTACGGTACATCATTGGTACACAACTCCAGTCCTGGAGGGGGGCAGTGTCAGTGAGTTTTTGTTCCATCTCTGCTCTTAGTGTCCTAATGTGAGCTTCAGAGGGCCAGTCTAGCACTTTTCAATAGATTACAATAAACTTTGTGGTGCATTGTAACAGTCACAAATGCTATGCTAACCTTATGTTATGGTGATAACTGATAAATATCTTTGAATGTATACCCCAAGGGTGTGTATTTCTCTGGGTTTATGATATCAAGGTATTCCAAAAAGTTGACTGTGATTCAGGTGTAGCTTTACATGAAATAACCAACTGCCAAGTACATATAAGTTAATATTAAAACAAACAGAAGGAGCATGAGTTCATGACATATTCCACATCCTCTTAGCATGTGCTTTATTCAGCCTGAAATTCTGCCTCACAAAATTATTTATCTTGGTCCTAAAATACTGTAAAGTCAAGTCAGTTTAATTGCAATAGGACAGCGTTCTCCAGTCCTCATCCTTGTGCTGCCCCATTCGTGTTTTTCTGTTTTGTCTCGTGTTGTGATTCTAGAAATTTCTCATCTCTACCAACAGTCTGACAGAGTGTGAATTTTAATCAGCTCATACTGTTCCTTCTGTAGGCTTCAGCTGACACTCAGCCAGCTATCATTTCTGACAGCTTGGTAAAGTGCCCGGTTATGCTGGAACCCTCTGTCTGGAGTTTCAGAACACTTCACAGCCCCCCAGTGTGGGACTTCATACTGTTTTCCATCACCGTGCGGTGTGGCCTGCTTCTCTGTGGCCACATTACCCAGGGCCCGATGGTCTGCATTTAGACCATGATGACTGCAGCAACTCCCACTGAGTTAAAGTTAAAACTCCAAAATATAATTCGGCTTGAGGGGAAAGAAAAGGATCTGCTTCTGTATCTGCAAGCCAATGAAGCACAGTGATATGAATAATTAAGACTGTAGGCTGATTTTGTGTGTACGCATTTCTGTTTATATGACTTGGCTTCTCAGCATTCCAGTCCCAGTGCCTTAGGCCCATGGTTGTACTGGGCTGCTTAAAGGGAATGTTACAGAGTTCCAAATGTTCTAAATAGCCCCTTCATGAATATCCCTCACATTTTGTGCCACGGATCTCTTCCCCTTCTTTCAGCAGCTGTCCCAAAGCCTGTCTGATACTCTTATTCTACCAGGAAAATAATATTCTGCAGCATATATGGAATTTAGTCTCCTTGGTCTGATAATAAACCAGGTGACAAATGACTAACTCATATCCTGGAGGTACCCAATTTGAATGGTAATGTTATGTGTGAGGCGCCAAAGGGACATCAAACAAGTTTATTCTCCTTGTACAATAGATTAGCCATCCAGGTGAGGTGTAGACTCACTCTTGATCATGCT